CACCTGTCACACAGCAACAAAACATAATGGGATATTGGTGGGAAGCTTCAACCTCTGCTGCCATGCCACCAACAGCCGCCTCTGATGTTGTAGACCAACATAATGAAAGAGGAGGCATTACTTTTAGAGCAGTCCTCGTACCTTTAATCTTCTACTTGTTCACACACTTCATAGTAGCACCGGTTCTTTCTTTTGTTCCCAGTTTATGTACATGGCTGAATAAATGTTTCCTTTTTCTTTTAATTTCCTTTTGACACCTATTTCAGTGTTAGTGATTGCCAAACCTCACTCAATTCCAAACACAAAATGCAATGTTTTTGTTCCTCTGCTGTTTTCCTTAGTTTTTATTTCTCTCCCACAGCGTAGTGAAATTATGTGATTGCATGGATTACATTAACTAATGGGGAGACATAGTTAAATACAGATGTTTTGTAGGTAGGTACAGAGCAAACATATTTAGCAATGAAATTCATGGGCCAACAGAAATCAAAGATCTTGTTATAATAGAAGCAATGTTTTTATCTGATTAGAGTTGCAAAAAACCTTGCATCAGCCCTGTGCATGCCAGAATGCCTGGCAAAGAGCTTCAGCGTGTAGCAATAAAAATGTTGTATGTTCCTTCTCTTTCAAGAAAATTAAAACTTTCTATCACTAAAAATACAACAGAAGCAGAAGAGTACCAAAGAGTAACTTGTACAAGCACTACGTTACCAGCCTCTTTTTTCACAGTATTAACTTCTGTGCTGTGGGTTTTTAGTACTGCTTTAGTTTGGTTCGGTTTGATACTGAGTTTCTAATCCCGTGATTTTGAAAAAAACTTTTAAAATGCAAACCAGTACAGAGTTAAGTGAATCTGAGGCAAGTCGCAGCATAGCTCTAACTCTGCTTTGGGGACCTTTGTGTTAGTTTTGACACTGAGGTTTCAGATTACATTTACAGATCCTAATTTTTCTTGATTACCTGCAAGTTTCCTAAAAGACCGCAGTTTGATTTTCAGCTACATTAGAATAAAATGGTGGAAAGACTCATTGCAGAATTTGTGTACTATCAAGTTTTGAATTACTAAGAACAGGAGGTGGTAGGAGGAATTGAAGTATTATTATAGATAGGTCAGAATATAATATTCTCTGTGTCCATCCACTATCTGTAGCCAAAAGACCACAGAAAAACAGTGGGGGAATCATCTCACCAAGCACTGTATGGAGGCTTTGCTGCAGACAGTATATTCATACACAGGAGCATCTGCAGCTATGAAATAAGAAGATCTGTCGTGTCCCTATGCACTGCAGGGCAGTTGGACTAGATGGCCTTCAGAGGTACCTTCCAAATCTAAGGATTCTATGATTCTATGTTCAAAATGCATCAGCATAAAATTTTGGTCTCCTCCACTGACACTTTGAAGCATGTTGGAGAAGACCTTTCAGACATAGGTCTAACTGCAGGGAGACATTTCTATAGAAGAGGAAGCAAAACAAGTTCATCTCATGAGCTGCACCAATTGCTTTGTTCCTATTTAAGCAGAATTCCAAAGCTTCACTTGGATCACTGAAATGCCTTAAAGGATGCCTGGTTTGGCTCTTATTCTGATGCCTGGTTTGGCTCTTATCTGATGCCTGGTTTGGCTCTTATCGATGCCTGGTGCCCTGCATTTTCAGGCAGTCGGGACTACCCCACTGCAGAGGTAACAACTGCAAACTACTGCTAAGAAACTTGGTTTATCTAATATGAAATGGGGAGGTTGGTGGCCCTGCATGTGCCAGGGGGGTTGGAGATTCATGATCCTTGAGGTCCCTTCCAACCCTGGCCATTCTGTGATTCTGTGATTCTATGATTATCATTGGAGCGAAACCCCTTTTACATTTGGAAAAGCAGGCCGGCTGGCTTTCACCTTCACTTTGCTTTCAGACACGGACCGCTGCCGTTTTCTGCCCTGAGTTTTGTTGAGTTCCTCGGATCACGGCTTCTCCCTTTTCGTTCCAACCGCTCCGCCCACCTTCACCCGGCAGTTCCCCCTGTAAACCACCGCTCTGCCTGCTAGGTGGCACTGGCCAGCCACCAGCGCCGGCCCGAAGGCAGGTGGCACTGAAGAGCCATCAGGGCACATGGCCACCCTTTGCTCGTCACTCTATTTACTTTCTGCAATGGCATTTTCTTTGCTCAGATTACTTAATTCCTTATCCACAGCACTGACTTGACACTAACAATTCTACTCATGTCCTCTTCCTACGTTATGAGGAGTATCAACTTGCTATTAGCATAGCTACAGGGGACCAGGTACTTCTGAATCCATCCGTTGGTCAAAAACAATTAAAAACAAACAGAAGCCCTAAAATTTCTTTGGGTTTCTGTGATCAGCTTAGTTTGAGTACCAGTATTTTCCGAACAATAACTCTATGAAGGTGGGTGAAGTGTAATTCAACTTTTCTGCCTGAAAGCAGCATTAAAAAGCTGTTTCTGAGCAGACACTGAGGGGTGATACATGAAGATGGTACATAAAAATGTGTCCACCAATGCATGGAGGAGGAAGCTGAAGCTTTTGTTCCTATCTGCAGAGCACCCAGCCCTACTGCTGTGTCCCCACTGTGTCCTGTCCAAAGTAAAAAAAAATAACACCATCAAGCCAAATTTGGAAACCAAGTTAGGCACAGATGGAAACAGAAGTGCCTTTCTTCTAAGTATCCATGGTTCAAACCATTCTGGCTACACTTTGTGTGCCCCCATCTCCCTTCAGCCTGGTCTTTTATGCAGCAGCATGTCTGCTTCTCACATCCATGGGCACAAGTCTCACCCAGCACCAGGCATGCACACATGGGTGTGATTTCTTGGAAGCTGAGGGTGTACTCTCTGCTCAGATGGCAAGCTCCCTGGCTGAGGTTGCTTGAAGACAATGCAGGTGTCACAGTATCTTCCTTGCATGCCTGTAGATGTTTTCCAGGTAGGTGTGGTTATGCTCCTACCTGGCTCATCAGATTCTCCCCAGATGTCCATGCTTCCAGTGACAACTCCAGGTCTAGCTTTCTCATTAATTTTTTTTCAGCCTTATAATTATCATGCACACATGAAACTGAACATGGTGTTACATCCTACCATATTATTTCCAGGTGCCAGACACCTAATTTCTGTGGTTTTTTTTTTTTTTTTTTTTTGTCTTCATTGAGAATGTGTGTATCTCTCAATTTCCTTAGGGATGCTTGGAACTGACTGCCCCCAAACCTTAGAGGGATTGAAATACAAGTAGAGCTTTTTATGCACACCAGCTCTGAGAAATCTTGTTGTGAGATTTTAGGATGTTTCTCCTCATGTTCCCACCTTTTCACTCTGTTCGCTCTGAGGTTATAATCTGTATAACAAAGTTGGCAGACAGACTGAAACGCTTGTGCATTAAGCCATTCCTGTACAAAGCCTGGCACCTCTGTTCTAATGTCTGATCAAAGTGGGTTTGAACTAAGATGTGTGCCTGTGAACTGGCAGGGGCACACAGTCTTTCTGCTGATTCTGTTCCTAGGGTGGTGAGCTTCCATGGAAGGAAGGAAGGAAGACTGAGGGCAGGCGGGCGCTTTGTTGAGGTCTCGAAATGACACACAGATTTACAAAAGCAGGTCCTTCTAAACCCAACTGCCTAAACCTGCCTGAAATAACTCCAGGATTCATTTTCCCCTGTTTAGATAACATAGCACAAGGACTTTTGTGTATTTGCTTACCCATTCCTCTCACGCAGCATGAAGCAAATGGCTACCTACACCTCCCTGGCTATTTGCAAGGCTACTTAGCCTTAAAACACAGCTGGGAGCAGCACCACCAATCTTAAATTAACTTTCCCAGTGGGGGAAGAGTCTTGAATTTTTCCTTATCTACTTCACTGGGTCTTGTGCTGACAGTCAGGTTTGCTGTTCTCACCACTGTTAAAGTGTTCTTCTCTTTATTGGGTGTACTGTGAACAAGCCATCAGTCCAGACCTTTCTGATACAGCTGTTGTGATCTACCTTATCTTTATTTGCTCCTCGAGCCACTTTGGTAAGGCTGGACAAGACATCTTCTGGAAAGAAAAAAAAAAAAAAGCAACTTTGAACTCTGGAAGAGCAACTAGCAAATACCTTTACTATCGGAGACAGAGAGCTTAAGATGCAGCTGGGATACAGCTAAAGTGCATGCAAGTTGCAGATATCTGCACAGAAAGTAGCTGAGAGTCACTGGTCACTGGTGTTGAAGCTATTAGGGAATTCTTAAGGATGTGTTAAATGGCAGGCTCACTTCACTAATTAATCACCTTGCTCAGGCTACAGAGAGTTTTGGTCATAGTTGGCAGTGATGGCACAGAAAAAACGAGCTATTAGCTATTAGCTTGCAGCTAATACAGTGATTTTTACATGGACAAAAGAAGAACTCTGCATAATTACAATAAAAATGTTTACGTTCATTGATACTGTTACTGCAGATGAGCTGGCTACTGTCTTTATAACATTGCCAGGGGGAAACAGAACGAAGATACAGCCCAGATTTCTGCACAGATGTATTTTGTGGAAATGGTCAGTAAATCGAAATGATCTCAGATCACTTTGCATTTTACCAAACAGCAGCTTGGTCTGGCAAGCTCTGCACATGATTCGTGCGGGCATCTGAATAGCCCCTGCTTGCTCAGTGTGATTACTGAAGTGCTTAAAGTTAAGTGTGTAAAAAGTTAAATGTGTAAAGTTAATGTCTTTGCAGAAGGAGGGACGCAAAATTCAAATAGCGTTTCCCCTCAACATACTTCTAATAGGTGCATTAAAAAAAGTCAGAACAAAACTTCAGATTTCTACTGATTCTACAAATGTAAATGCCGTGTCTTCACCTGTGCCACGGATGGCACAAAGCGCAGTCAGTCCTTAACAAACAGACAAGAGTGATAAAAAGCCAATATGCAAATTGCGTTATACACCAACGTGTTTTCTTAATTTGTGTATGAGGCTCATTTAAGATTCCAATATATGTACAAGTTATAATCTATACAATGTTCCTTAACACGCACTTGAGACCTCATCAGTGATGGGGGAGATAATCTTCACAAATGCCTTTTTCATCAGTCAAAAGCTCGGCGGGGCTGCTGGGTGCCGGTGGTCGTGTCTGGGCTGACTGTGTGGGTGCAGGGAAGGGGCGGCTCGGGGTGGGGGAGCCCGTGTCATTCGGTGGGAATTGCCTGCTCCCACAGCGGCAACATTTATCGCAAAAGCAGGAAATTGCTTATTATTAAATAGCTGGCAAGGGAGTGGGAGCCGATGCTGTTCCACACTGGCACAGCACTTACTTTGCTGCTTTCCCTGCCTCTCCTCATTCCGTTCTTTCTTTTTCTTCTTCCCCCTCTTTCTCTCTCTCCCCTCTCTCTCTCTCCTCTTCTTTTTTTCATTTTGGCTTCTATTCAAATGTGGGTCAGGGGTGAGCGGCTCCCAACGTCACAAGCTTGCAAGATGGCGCTGGGAGGAAGGCTGTGAGATGAGGAACAGGCTGGTATAAACCGAGAGGACAGGAGAGGGAGAGGAGAGGGGCAGGGGAAGCAGAGCCGCTGCTCCAGATGCACTAAGAAGGTAACGCGGGGCGGGGGGGGGCGATGGGCCGCGCGTCCCGCTCGGGCGCTGCGGGGCTCGCTGCAGCCCAGCCCTTCTGCCCGCTCTTTATTTGCAGCCCTGTTTATTTGCCCATCTTCACGGGGCCGCTCGGGAGAGCCGCGGTGGTGGCCCCTCTCTCCCTGCTCTTTGGTAGCCCTGCCCAGCACCGGCGGCAGGTCCCGGGGAAAACAAAATGGGATATACGTATTTTTGCTCTCCCCTCGCCCTCTTTCCGTGCCCCGGGGCCCCTTCCCCTCGCGCTGCCCCGTTGCTTTGGGGCCGGGGCTTGCGTGCGGCGCCTCTGCCACCGTGCGGGTCTGGGGATCGCAAATGCGGGCTATTCGGCTGCAGCGGCTAGAAACTTTCCCCCTCCTGTCGTGATATTTGTGTGCGCGCGTGTGTGTGCGCGCACACGGGTGTGCGCTGCCCCTTCCTCGCGGTGCTGGGCTCGGGGCGGGGGCCGCAGCTGCTGCCCGCTGGGGCCGGCCGGCGTGGGAGCGAGCGGCAGCCCCGGAGCAGCCTCTCTCCATCTCCATTCACCCTCTGCAAGTGAGCCGTAATTTTTCTATTATTTTCTTCCGAAGGGTCGGAGCGGAGCCTCGGGGTGCCGGGGGGGCGTGTTTGCGCCGGGGATCCGGCCGTATTGTGGAGGAGAGGGCAGGGAAGTGGCTCCCGGTACTCGCATCGCCTCCTTCCCCCTCCTCCGTCCCTCCGCGGGGCTGAGAGGCGCCGAGCCAGGCCGGCAGACCCCGGGCACACTGCCAGCCCCTGCCCCACCGGGCACCCCAACGGAGACCGCGGTGAACTTTTGCCCCAGCTCCCTCTTGTCCCCCTCGGCCCTTTGGGATGACGGAGCCGCCAGCTCCTTTCGCCCTGCCTGCGGCCGCGGCTCTCCGGCTTTTGTTAGAGCTCCGTCTGGGCTCAGCGCTCGGAGGCGGCAGCGCGCATCCTCCCGCGGCAAGGGGCTGGCAGGACCCTGCCTCCGGCTTTGTGCCCCCGGAGGAAATGCATGGCCTCGGCCCCGCCATGCCGGAGCAGCGCTGTCCGCCCCGCTCAAGAAACAAACAAAAATATATATGTATGTGTGCGTGTATAAATGTAAAATAATGAATGCTCTATGCGCAAGCTGGCAATATCGCTGCGAAACGCGCACTGCTATAGTGTAAGGGCCAGGCGGGCTGCCCGGTCCCGTGTGCAAGAGCGGAGCGTACCCGGCCGCGCTCTGCATCTCCCGGCGGTGCCAGCTCTGCTTTTTGTTTGTCTGCCTGCATGTAAAAGGAAAGCAAAGTCGGAGGGTGCGGGGGGCGACTCGGGGAGCCCCGCGGTGCCCGCAGCCCCCTGCCTGCTCCCGGCCCCTTTTGTATAGGGCGGGAGAAGTGAATTATTGACTTCTGCTTGGCCGCGGCCCAGGTGGAAGCGGGCACGGCGGTGGGCGGGCGGCTCTCGGCACGTCCCCCCCCGCTGCCCGTTATCGCGGCCGCCAGCTGCGCTGCGCCCGGCCCCGCCGCCGCTCCGTGCCCGCTGCCGCCCCGCGGAACCCGCCGCAAACTCGGTGCCATGTGCCGGGAGGAGCGCGACTTCGGGGTCGATAGCCGCGAGCTGGGCGAGGGTGTGCCTCTCCATAGAATGAATGAATGATGTACGGCAGCGAGTGTCGAAGCAGGCAGCTACCGAAATCTCCCTAGATGTTGCGTAGTTAGAATAAACCTGGGAGCAGTAAGATCATCGAAAGTGCATTCTGGCAATAAACCGTCCTTTGACCAATGCTGGTTTAAATTTATTGTGGAATGCTGTTTATATTTGAATGGCTTCCATGTTTTTCCACAAATTAAAGGGGAAAACAATACGCAATAGTAACTTTCATTGGAAAATGTCAGAACTATGAGCAGATGTTCACTGTGCTTGATAAATAGTGTATAAACATCAGTATTTCGAGATGACTTATTACTATTTTTTCATGACTCAGAATCATTGTATGTGCTACAGCAGCTCTGAAGAGAAAGCTGTAAATTGCTCCTTAGGATTTAACAGGAAATATACATGGAGAAAATGACATATAAAAAGAAAATTGACTTATTTCCACAACTGCAAGTGGCTTCCTTTTCGCACCTATTCAATAGCAATCTAATCCTAAAAGCAGTGGGAGCAATTATTTGCAGTGGCGCCTGACATTGTAGGTCTAATTATTTAAATCAGTTTAACTTTTGATGGTTGACCCATCAGGTCAATTCTGTGTGCCCTTTGTTGTATTTATTTAGGGGGAGAAGAAAAAAAAAAAAAAAGAGGGGAGGGGATGGTTCTTCAAACTTGCCACCTGCTACTGACATATCATTTTAGCTCCGGAGGAGATCAGCATTAGGAATAAGCTGCCTCTTGCATTTGTTACTTTCCACTCTAACACGGGTAAGGGAGCCATACATCAATGGTTTGTTCTTTCGCATTGGAAATGCATCACTTAATCATGGCAAACTCACGTGGCTGGAGGGGTGCAAGCAGGAGGAATGGGAGAATCTGATGCTCTAGGTTTTTCATTCATGATGCTTCCTAATTATGTGAAATGCAGATGAGATGCACGTACATAAAAGGGGTGATTTTTCAATGTTTGGGGGGAAGGCTTCTTCCAAGGACCTGTGTGAGCTCTAAATCTTTAGTGCATAAAGATGTAGCTGATGGCACGTGGTTGTGTCAGTGCCAAATTGTTTGGCAGAAGTCAATGTATGACAAGGGGTGGGGGAAGGAGAAAGAGGAGGTTGGAAGCCTTATTCTAGGAGGGTACATCTTCCAATTTTTCTGGTTAACTGTTTAGAACAACTAGAATCTAATGCTAGTTGGTTTGGTTGTGTCATTGAGACTCTCTAAAAGAGCCACTATACCCCTAACACTATAACTATAAAAATCTATGGTCACAGTATAAAATTTGAGGTGAACAGTAGTTCTTGCAACAGGGCTTCATAATTTCCAGCATCTTTACAGCCCACAGTAATTAAGAATTCTCAAACATAAACTGTATGCCTGCATTCCTGGTATAGCACGTGGTTATTTTTGAGCTCCTGTTACCTTTGATGATAAATGTAGTGAAACAGGATAATATTTGAAAACTGAAGCACATCTACCTTCATATCAGAACTGTTATGTGTGCTGAGTGCAGTGTTCAACCTTCTAATTCAGGCTGAGGAATGTATCATAGCTTGAAAGACAGAAGGTATTGGTATGACGAGGTTGTCATGTTTCATCTACAGAAAGCCAGTCTTCTGGTCCCCTGCACAATTCAGACTGATGAAGTGTTTGAACAAAGCTGCAGTTCCTGACAGTATCAGTGGAAGAATTTTACCACAAAGTGGCATTTCTTATAGCAGCAAATGTGCTCTTAGAATGGAAGAGAACAGAACACATCTGTGACATAGGCACTACATCTGCTGTACAGTGACAGGCAAAGCGCAGTGGGAAGGAAGACTCTTTCAGCATCAGCGGGCATACTCACCCTGCTGGACTGGGAGAAAAATTAACAGGGCTCAGCTGTGGAATTGCAACAGCAGAGTCCCGACCCAACCATAACCAAGAGGATGTCTTTTAAAAATAAAGATGACTTCTCTTTTGCTTTGGTGTGGATTGAACACCAGTGATTAAGCCACTACAGCTGATTAAATAGGTTTTTATCTTGCTGTAGTCTCGGGAGCAAGAACAGTGTATTGCAATAGCGATTTCAGACTGCTGTGCTGTAGCTCTAAGGCAAAGCAGCTGTATTGGCTTGTCTACTGTTTTTTTTTTCTTGTTTGTTTGTGTTTTTGTAATCAGCTATGGCAGTATGCTTACTCCTCTCAAAAGCAGCAGAAACAATGTTTAAAAAAAAAAAAAAGATCCTGAGAGTTGAATTTTCTTGTTAGCATCTCCAGCTTCCAACAGAATGCCAATTTGAAGCCGGGTTTCTTTCCTTGAAGTGTACAAGTATTACCAGCTAGCTGTCCAAACTTGTAAGTTACTCATGTGTCTTGTTAGTAATTCCTGGAAAGAAAATTCACCCTCCAGTGCCGGCTCCCATGAAACAAGGAAGAAACAAAATGGTGAGGTCAATCCTGCATTTTAAGCTAATATAAAAGGGATTGTTACAGTAGCTGTAAGAGGGAGACTACAACATTGCAATAGCTGTACCTCTGTTGACAGGTGGGAGAAGTTTTGTTCTGCATCTGTGTTTGGATGACGGCCCAGTGCTGGCCACACACTGCAATCCAGGATTAATCCTCACATAGTGTTTTCTTTCTATATATCAAATTTCTCATTTTGTTAATAAGCACAGCCTAGCATGCACTTCAAGTCAGCTGTTCTGGAGTGGAAGCAACAGCGTTTTTGCATTATTGAAATGACAGCTCTCATGCTTCCCTAGAGCCTGTATTGTCTGATCAGGGCAAGACGGAGAGCGATCCTTCTAATCACAAATCCTGAACAGGGATTCTAATTACTGATTTTATTTAATGGAAAGAGGTGGGGAATCTAGTCTATCCAGGATCACATATGAGCTGTATCACGTTTTCTTACATGCATAGGATATGAAAGGGTGAAAGAACGATCTTATAAACTGGAAACTTCAAGAGGATGTTTGGAAATGGGCCTGCTGTGGGAAATGGTTTTCAGCAATGGATGTCCTTCAGCGTGGGCTTTCCTTCTAATGTAGAAAGGACAAAACTGCTCAGTTCTTCTCCAGAAAGCACACTTTAACATGCACAGACACCTAAGCAGGGATATGAAAGGCCCAATCTTCAGCAGACAGTAAGGAGAGTTCATAGAAGTGCAAGGAGATTCCTGCTCTAAACAGTCACCAGTCAGCCATAAAAACGGCCTTGAGAATGGGATATACTTGCTTTTGTAAAACATCCTGAGAGATCGATGCTGGAACTAAGAACAGTAACTTCGTGTTCTTGCAGTTTTAGTTATTGGATGAATAAAGATGCCAGTGGTGTCCTCATTCAGTTCTGGATGGGAGG